TTTGACCTCAGTGAGATCGGACTCTAGTGTCCAACCTGACTCCGAACTTTGCCAGGCGATCAAAGCAAGCTTGCTTCTGTTGCTCAAGATCACCATTATAGTCACTGGCAGTCATCACATCATCAACCTTCAGAAGCGTTTAATGACTCGGCCTCCGTAGACCTCGTGAAGTGACAGTCATGATGACTATGAAAATAAGAGAGGAGGGCGCATCGTCTGATCCACCGCGACTGTGATAAGGAGTTTCACCCCATACAGTCGCGATGCATCAAAGCCGCTATTCATCGAGTGGGTCTAGCTCTGAATCCTGCTGGCATCTTTGGTGTGGGCGCTTTTTGCAGCAGCAACAGCCTTCTTCACTCACTCTTCGTTTGTTGGTACTTCTACCGGTTATCAGCTTGGTCAGCTGTCCTCAAAAACGAGTGGTAGAGTCCTCAGCCACCACTGCTTACAAAATTTACGCCTCCCAGGCCGCGACACCAAGTTCGCAACGAGCGGGCCCAACTTGTCACAACCTTTTCGAGCACTCGTTTCCTTCAACGAGTTACAATCTGATGCGAGAGAGCAATCACTCATTTGCAGAACTCAGAATATCCTGATGTGGTTGATGTCGATGAGGATGCATCAAAGGTGGTCAAACATTGTACCAGGGCAAAACTTCAGATGAAAATCTTCCCAAGTGTTTCAGAATTTTTTGGACATCCTAGCACTGACATATTTCTGAATCACATCACTCTGTCCTTTTCTTTGGATGTCTACCGGTCACGTCATACAGCCACATTTGGTGACCGCAGCGCAGAAGGGCCCTAATTTTAACGGTAACCGCTTAATCTTGTCCATTTCCTGCCTCATCTGTTGAGTCAGTTATCATCTACGAGGTAATTTTGAAACCCTTAAGCCCGACGAAAACTCGTCTCTCTCGAATGATACCGGATCAGAAACCCGAACTGAAACTGAATACAACAGTCAAGAATGTAGTCGATTTACAAACAAGTAGCTCGAAGAGGAACAATACCCATCTCATCGTAAGGGTCGTTTAGCGACAGCAAATTGCTCATTGGGCCACAAACGCATTGAATACTCGCTCGAGTAGTAAAGTTAGCAGCTGCATGGCATTAGCGCGATGTAGTGAAAGGTCTTCAAGAGGTTTTCTTCGTGAAAAGACATTTGGCAATCTTTACTCGTATAAATGAGCAAATAAATAGGAATACATTGCTCTATAAGAATCTCATCTTCTTGAAAGCTCACTCCATGTTCGTCGTATGCCTGAGCCAGGCCCACCCTTACTACTTTCTCATTGGCCACGAATCCTCTTCAGCCTCTCCCAGAAGCGGAAATAAAGTGCAAAGCACACCATTGAGTAAGGTAGGTAGTGGACCCGGCGCCTCGCCCTACGGGAAGCAGGGAGTTTGCCTTTATGTTTGGCCAAACTGCAAGCAACATGGATTTCTCTTTTGGCATCTCACTTATGCAAACCGTACTGAATTGGAACTAAATTTAACAATCAATAATGTAGACCCGATGGATGAATCAATAGATCAATGAAGAATTATGGGCATCTTCTCATAAAACTGCATAGTTATTTGACGTGTCAACGGATTTCTTGGTAGTAATGGAGTAGTCGAGCAGCTTGTCACGAGCAACCGATCGGCCAATCCTGAAAAATCATGTTCTCCCTGAGGTCTCAACAAGAGCAGTTCGTTACGGTACCTGCTTTCAATCGCATGTCTTGTCCATCGTTCTAACCATCGGAAACAGGGTGCTTCTTTGAAGGCTGAGCGAATTTTTCCGTTCATCATGCAAAATAAGGCAAAGATTATGCAAGACGTCAGAAGGGTGATCATCTCGGTGAAGTCTCCTGAAATCAAAGGAAACAATTACATACCGTGCTGAAATGGGGCTGGCGAAATTGCGAGGTAGCCTTCAGCCGACCGAGTTTTAAACGAGTTCACAGCTTGCGACGGTACAGAATTGCGGACCCGAAGATTCGGTAATTTGAGGAGTTAGGCACGTAATCAGGGGAATACGTCTTAGGAGAACGTCCTACGTTGGGAACCCAGGAAGGGTTTTTATTTGGTCACTGGTACTATATTTGACGCTAGAGCCCGTTTTACCCATCTCATGTATGCTCTACACCCTCCGCTAAAAAGCAGGTTTTTGGGAAGGACTAGAGAATGAAAAAACAGAAAAAGTGATAGGAATTCGGGAAATTCCAAGAAGATTGTAGGTTGGACGGGTTGTGGAATTCCTAAGGCGGTTGGTATTTTGCAGAACTTTCTCCGGACGGCACAATGTGCCCTGCTGGGGAATTCCCTATTCTCCACTTGGGCGGGATCAGGTGATGAGTGTCTCACCTTTAGCTTATTCACCCTCGTACTCTATAAACGCGATCGCATTGGCTTGTGAATCAAAACTTATTTTAACTGCTAAATTAGTACTGCTCAATGTAGCTGATTTTGACGCTCTATTTGAGGCTTCCGTCAATGCAACCCGTATTTATTATCTGTGGTTTGATAGCTCAACCTCATCGCACCTTTTCATCTGCTCCCGTTCCCTTTGCGCACCATCATTACCTTGGAACATCATTACCTTCACCTTCGTGAAGAAAGATCATTTCATTTTTTTCAGTATAAGACACACCCTGAGGGGGAGGTGGTGTAGAAGCAAGTGTCACGCTTATCACGACACGGTCAAGGGGTCAAATCCCGGGTAGGCTCCCACCCAGATCACCCCGAGCCCCGCACCCTCCCAGGACGGTAAATTTTTACCAGCTTCGCCTAGGAGGATGAGAATAGGTGACTTGTACATTGACTGCCGCCGCAAGTCACTGTATAGGACACATTATATTCAATGGAGCACTGCGATCTGAGTGGAAGTACACTCCTCATCATTACGGACTGTCGGGGCGGTCAGTGCGGCTGCGTTTTCCGCGGTGCCAAAGTCTTTCTGCACCAGTTGTTGAAGCGAGCAAATGACATGACAGCATTATATCCTTCGTATTACTCGTTTTCTACCACTTTTGTCGCATACGCGTTTCAACGAAAAGGCTGAGAACGGCTTCAAACAGTGTGCGCACTCCTACTGGCTGATACGCACCGACAGTCCGTAATGAAAAGGAGAGTAAATAGAAACAGAATGGCCAAAATTATCGATGAAAAACGTCATAAGGCGCACTCTCTAACAGGTTCCCCAACCCCCTCCCCCATACATTTTCTATTACTATTTTTCTTGTAGTTGTAGTCCATGAACTGTTCATTCGAAGGTGTATTCTCTCCGTAATGCGGATCGGTTGGTCACGAACTCATGCAAAAAAGGGAGCGAGTATCTCACCTAGTGTTACTATGAGTTGCAATTCGGTTACGGTGGACACAACGGCTAGCAATCCTTGTGGCAGTTCGACAATGATGAAAATAAACATGATGATCTGAAAAACATCATGTCAGTGGTTTAGCAGAAAGAATGACAGTGCTATGCCAGCTTCATTTCATTACATTTGGATATTTAGAAATACTAATAGCGATTCAAAGTCACCTTGTATCTATGGTACAGTTTGCGGTGTTTTGTCTTGTAGCTCGAGAAAGTTATCTACTGCAAAGTGCGTAAGTTTGTTAAAGGGATCCAAAGGAACCTCTGTCAATTTCCCGGTAGCTCAGGTCACCATTGCGGCGCGCGCGGTAATATTCACCGTGGGCGCGGTGGACATTTCCTGTCAAAATACACTGGTCTTTTAGTGTGCTTTTACTCAACCAAATTCCTGAATCACTGCATTTTAGCGGTTGCTATTGGGAGACGGGCAAGAGAACCGTAATTTGCCGCTCCGCCGCGCGCGGCGATGGGCGCGGCGTTTTAACTCGTGTTAACCTGTCGATTGGAGCACCGGACTTCATGTAGACCCCGTCATCGTAGACATTCATGACTATTTTCGGTTCTGAATTGCTGTTGTCGCCATCCTCTACCTGGAACCATCGTCATTTGCGAGCGCGACGTCGCACGCGACGCCCACCAGCGCGGCGAATTACGATTCTCTTGTCAAACACCTGTTTGCTCGCTCGCTTTGCTCCAAGCAAATTCCTCAATCTATACCTTTTCGATTTGAAACAGAGCAATACTCGCACAAGGCGTTAGGGCACCCTTTGAACAAGAACATCAGAAAACAAACGATAGGTCGTTTACAGGTCCCTGGTTCACATTGAAAGCACGCCTCGATTTGCTCGGAAGATTTGCAAGGGTACTCAACGGTGCGCTGCTTCTGTCAGATTGCACAAAGGCCAGTCCGCTGACCGACCTTTTTTGCGAAACGCAGCAGTATTATTTAGTATTTGCAGAGGCAAAATTCGCCATGAGCCAGCAAGAAATTTACTGGTATCGGGGTTAGAGATAGAAGTGTACGTACCAACTGACTCGCTCGTGAATAAAAAAGTATAGAAAAAAATCGATGTAGTTCTCGGGCGAGAGGTCAGACAAGAATGGCGAGAGAGGACAACGGGTAAGACAAGTGACAATCAAGGTGGGCGGGGTCACTGACTTTTTGGTCACTTGTACAATCTTGTTCCTTACAGCCGCTTCCTTACAACGTTCTGACGCGAATCTTGTCAGGATAGCTCGTTGCGGTCTCCACTATCTTACCCTTCAAAAAACACAGATACTATAAGTGATCGTGGGCGCCGCCGTCCAGCTTAGTGACTGTTTATACTGCACCAGTTCAGCGTTGGATGGATTTGGATTTGCTGTCACTGTCGCGCATGTGGCACCGCTTCACCGCGTCGCCGCGAGGTGACTGATTCTTCGTTGGTGGTTTTTCGCCGGCACGATGGATTCGCGAAGTTGCACTTTCATCAGTATCTTACAACGTTACGGTATCGGAAAACTGAAAGGACCATCAGAACCAAAACAACTCCTTCCGGGACTCTCAGGGGGAGTTTATTCTTCGAAACGTTGGAGAGTTTCCACCACCCGCTTAGCATCTTTGCGAGCATAGCTTTCTGCGTGTCGTCTCACTTTTTGGGCGCTGAAGGAGGATGTTGTCAATATATTAGACTACAGACGGGGCCGTTCTGGAAGCGTTCGGCACTTTTCGAAATTCACCAGACTTTCTGAGGCTGCCTCATTTCCACAGACTGGGGCATATCGTCCCTGTTTATAAATCTGGTTGTTTATAGTTGCTCGCATATGCGTTTTTGATGATTCATTAGGCTGTCACGTGTGTAAACATTCAAAAAAAAGAATGCAGACATAAGATGTAGCTATACTATTTAATGTTAAACATTTGGCGCTATTCAACTATTACTCCCCCCCAAATCAAAATTTTTTTGCTGAAACTTTGCCCAGAGGTAATAATTCGGTGTACTGGTCACGAATATAGCACTCATTTTCGGCGCTGGCGCCAGATTAGCGCCAGTTTGACGCCGCCCCCTTCCTCGATGTAAATTTGCATAGTAGGGTTCCTGATGTCCTGATCACGAATACCGCACTAAGTTTCAGCCCTAGTGCCATTTGGCGCCATTAGGCGCTGATTTGGCGCCACGAGCTTTTCCATCAAAATCGATGGAAACCTGCATAACAGGGTTGTTGGTGCCTTTATCACGAAATGACAGTTGTTTTTTC